TGCAACTCCCTACTGTTTGGCCTCCCCAATAAATCCGTTCACARACTACAGATGGTTYWGAACTCAGCCGCCCTTRTAATCACTCAAACTTCATCCTCTGCCCACATCACTCCAGTCCTGCAACAGCTCCACTGGCTCCCAGTTAAATCCCGCATCATCTTTAAAATTCTCCTACTCACCTTCAAAGCYATCCACAKTCTTTCCCCTCCTTACCTSTCTGACCACCTGAACATCTCCACACCCTCCCGCTCTCTAAGATCTGCCTCCTCCCTCCAACTCTCAGTACCCMCTGCCCGCCTCAGCACCATGGGGAGCAGAGCTTTCAGCCGCTCTGCTCCRCAACTCTGGAACTCACTACTCCATGGATTACRCAATAYTACCTCTCGCTCCCTGTWTAAGACTGGCCTGAAGACAYATCTTTTCAAATTAGCCTACAACTGTTAACTCTAATTTTCAATATGTCTGTTTTTGTTGTCCTCACTTCGATGTATCTCCCCCCCCCAACCCTATTGTTCAATTTGTCTACATTATTTTATTTTATTATATGACTGTTCTGTACTCCACATTTCTGTTTCTCCCACACTACCCGTATCATTATATGTATCTACAGYTTTTTATTTCATTTAACGTTTTTTCTATTGTACAGTGTCCTAGGGTGTCCTGAAAGGCGTTTTATAAATAAAATGCATTATTATTATTATTATTATTATTATTATTATTATTATTATTATTATTATTATTATTATTATTATTATTATTATTATTATAATCTTTAGAATTCTTGGGAGCTGATGGCTGATAAATCTTATTTTTGTAAGAGGTGCAACAAAGTACTTTTACTTCATTACAGTACTTATTTTTTGAGGATACTTTTATTAAGCTTTTTTAATGTAACTTTTACATGTATTTTGTTACATTCAAAACAAAACAATTCTTCATTTTAAAATTTAACACTACAAGTTACAAGTAACAAATTTAAATACAACCAAACTCATTATGAAATGAGTTGTTTATGTACTCTAAAAAATGAAGTGTTGTATTTACTAAACCAAGTTGAGTAAACGTAAATCAATTTACTCAACACGGTTATAAACCCTTCATTTCTTAGTGTTTTACTTTTCCAATCCTCATGATCAGTTTTATGACTTTTACATAAGTGCTTTTCTTATCAGTGAAATATTTTTTTTACCAAAGTCATTTGTTGTATATCCTTACTTTTACTTAGTATTTTTTAAAGTACTTTATGCACCTCTGGTTTTGGTCAATATGACATATTTTTTTAATTAGATCAAACAGTATTCAACAATCTTACATAAATCTAGTTTTAATATCTCTTAGAAGAACTTGTACACTTTAACTTATACACAGAATTGTCAATAACAATAAAATATAATAAAATAAATCAATTGTTAGCCACAGTAAGCTGGATGTAGCTGCTAATACATGTGGCTAATATCAGCTGATTAAAAAAGCTGAGAAATCAACCTACTTCTACTTTGTTGAACCTGTATGTTTTACCTGTAAATAGATGGGATTTTTTTTTGAAGTAAACATTATGTGTTTTGATGCTGGTGTCATATTAGTCATATGCCCCACAGCAATATTTTATGCAGGAAGAAGCACTCAATTAACTGGTTATGCTTTTATTAGGAGCTCATGGGGATTATAAACAAAGTTCTGAAAATGCATTTTTGGAAAAAGTGCCTGTAAAGACCATATTTTTAAGCGATCATAATGGTTGTAAATATTACAGGTCACTCTTTGCCTTAATGTTTAGTGTTTAATTCTCATTTTAGTTTGCTTAGGTAGAACTAGGGTTCAGTTTAAGGAAGTTTAAGTGGTTAGTAGTAGTGGGCACAAAAGTACAGAAGCTTTTTGATTCCTATAAGAAAAATAAAAGGTTTGGCCTAAAATGCAACTTTTCATAACAAATGAGCTGTTTACACCTCCACACATAGAGTTTCTGAGTAGATTGACACTGGAAGGAGTTTTGTTTTCACTGAACTAAAACTCTGTGTGTGGATGGAAATCTAAAGCACCCTGAAAAAGCTGTGCCTTTCTAAAATTGTAATTCTCCAAATTTGATCTTTTTTTTTCTCCTGCTACCTGCTTCAGTCTTGCATTTATCCTCTGACCTCATATCTGTAACCATATTGTATAATGCAGCTCATTTGGGTTTGTGCGTTCTCCAATAC